CGTGTGGTGCGTACTCGTGATGTACTAAGCCACTGGAGTCAAAAAAGGCAGTTAGCATGACCTTGACATTGCTGCGAACTTGCCTTGCTTTTTTGGGCCTCGGGGATGAAGGATGCTTCCACTGTGTTGACTGGCGCTTGGTTTCTGGGTCATATCCATAAACCCATGACTCGTCACCTGTAATCACTGTGTTCATAAAGTCGGGATCACCGTTCACAGTTTCCAGCATGTCTTGTGCGATCTCCAGACGAAGGTTTTTTTGCTCAAATGTTAGCAGCTTTGGTACAAACTTTGCTGAGACTCTCCTGAGGCCCAAGTCGTCAGTCAAAATTGATTGAATGGAACCAAAACTAATACTCACCTCGTCTACAAGCTCTCTGATCGTGATTCGGCGGTTCTGCATCACCAGGTTCCTCACTTGATCAATGATGGCATCATTTTTCGATGTTGAGGGCCTCCCTGAGCGTGGTTCACTTTCAACTGATAAGCGGCCATCTTTGAAGCGGTTGTACCACTCCTTTATCTGTGTGGTGCCCATCGCTTCATTTCCAAACACTTGTTTAATCTTGCGAATTGTTTCCACTTGCGAATCACCAAGATTAAAACAAAATTTTATGCAATAACGCTGTTCGACTTTTTCTGACATTTTAAAAAAAATAAAATCCGACGACACTCACTTGCACCTGTTCAATCATGAATGGCCTGACGCCGACTGACTTGTATTGGAGCTGTAGAAAAAAATGAGCATGCGCACTAGGCATGCTCACAATCACACATCGAGCCCCGCCCCCATAGCTGCGTTTGTTCGACCAATAAAAATTAAGGTCGGATACTTTTTGATCATACCTCGTATATGTACTTTTTATATTTAAAAAAAACTGGTAGCTAAGATTATCTTTTAATGCTTATGAAGCGAGGATAATATATATATATATATATATATAGAGAGAGAGAGAGAGAGAGAGAGAAACTAAAAATGGGAAAACCAATAGTCGTTATCAATACACAGCTATTGGTATAAATTAATGCGATATTTCTGAATAAAGAATAATTATCCTAAGATAAAAATTATTCTTTATATGTGTCGATATCGCTAAAAACATTTTGTTGCAAAAGAGAATGAAATAAAAGAAAAAAGCAAAAAGTAATCAAACTTACCGGCGTGTAGCAAAATGCGGTTTAGGTTTAAGAGTACAATAATTAAACAGTTAACAAAATTCGCGAAGAGGTAAAAAATTTGAAGTTTTGCTTATAGCTTGAATCGAATAAAATAAATTAAAAAATATATATTTGATCGAAGAAAATGTTTTAAGCAAGTGAAATATTAGTGCTGCCATCTTTGAGAAAAATTAGTAAAAATGTATTATTCTGAAATCAATTTATTAAAACCCAAAAATGGAGCCTGTACATATGGATAGAAAGTAGTTTATAGACTTTATCCTTCATTCATACATCCTTACATAATTTCAAAAACTACACGTATCACCTACATTCATTTGGGGTGGTTCTTTATGAACCAGAGCCCATTCCAGTTATACAAAAATAATAATAATAATAATAATAATAAAAATAATGAAAATATATATAAATAAATAAATAAATAAATAAATAAATAAATAAATAAATTAATTAAATATTAAACTGTTTATTATACTAGACAATTAAAATAATTAAGTTAATTTTAAGAGGCTACAACTTATTAAGAAGTTACTAAAAAATCTTTAACTAATCCAGTATAAAAGGTCATACATCCAAACTATTCCGTCCAGTGGCTTTAGGAACAGTTTATCATAGTTAGTTCCAACCTTTAAAAATCAGAGCTATATATATATATATATAGATGCAATGCACAAGAGGTATGATAAAAGACATCAAAATGAAGAGGAAAACTAAAGCATTAGGTCACAAACCGCGTGGAGAGAATGAAAAACGTAAGCAGGACGGCCTCTGCTTTCACCAGATCTCGATTCCTGTGACTTTTTTCTACTGGGGTATTAATTTTTGTGACAACTGTGGGACATTCCGGAGGATCTCATACAGCGGAGTTTCGTCACTTTGACAGACATCAAAAGCACTTTGAATGTCAGCAGCTAATTTTGTAATAATTAATCAAATAAATCTTTTTGCACCGAGCAAGTGTGTAGTATATTTTATAATTGTTTTCCAATGTGTTTTGTTTTCGCGATTTTCTCCTCTGCAACGCAGTTTGTGACACCAATTTGCTATACTATTTTTTTTTCCTTTTATAACCCCTCTTAATTTATTGGTTAAATTTTGGAAAACATTGTGTATATTAGAAACTTAATTTTTTCTGCATCAGCAATAGATGTATAAATGACGTATGAGTGACACTTCATAAAAATTTAGTTCAATTTCAGTTTTTCTTTTTAATTACGGAACATTACGAATTAAGGTGACTTTATTATTATGTGTCTTAAATCGTCAGAGGCCGGCATTGGCCCACATTGGGCTTTCTGGTCAACTATGGTGATAATTATGTGTAGTTGAAAATATATTTAGGTAAATTTTTCTTACTTTATAAAGTTCTGCAATGGGATGATCGTAAGACACGATTCTCTGAAGAACACCAAAATCAATGACAACAAATCTATGTTGAATATATTTAAAACTGGGCATAAAATGTTTTTATTGTGCAAGGGTGCCACTTCTCAGTCTTGGGGACTGAAATCTGTTTTGAGAAAAACTGAGGTCAGTGAGCTGAAGGGTGATCACTTTGATCATCCTGGGACCAAGGATGCATGGTACAAGTCCCTGTTAAACTGTTCTGCCGTTGCTCGACTTCACCCGCAGGTCCTCGGGATACCAAAGTAGGGGAGCCATCCCCTCTTTAGAGGAATAAAATTGTGATTGCAGTCTTTGGATCACATTAAGGAATTTTTTTCCGGAACAATGCTAATAGCCCATTTTGCAGCTCCTACATGACATAAGAAAAGTACTACATCTGATTACTTTTTCAAGATTTTTTTTAACCAAGTCAGAATTTTTGATGGTTTGTGTTTGTTTCAGGGCAATTTATGATGGTCCAACATCATTTGATGATCACCATCATCCAGCCTTTTCCATTACGCGTTCATAGTTTGTGATATGCCAACAAACTTCAATCATTCCATGAGGGAAAATGCTAATTTAATACTATGATGGTTAACCATCAAGAGAAGTCTCATGGACCAACAATCCATGATGATCCATGATGGTTCCAACTTCCAGCTATACATTTCCATAATGGTTCAATTTGAATTCTTGTTGGTTCCCAAGAATTTAACATCAAGACAATTTTTATGTTGGACCATCACAAATTTATCCGAATTCCTACATTGGAATGATGGTTGTTTCTTATGATCCATAACGGTACAACAATGCATTTCTATGATGGTTTAATAATAATTATTGTTGATTCAGCAGGAATATACCATCAAAAAAATTTGTTTGCTTTTTTTACGTTGACCTTATCAAATATCACACCGAATTCCTATAGACTGTGATTCACGGTCGTTAAAACATTTGATTCCTGAAACACTATGATTGAAATTTCTATTGGTTCAACATGAACAAACCATCAAAACAAGTTGTTATTCTTATGTTGAACCATCATAAACCAGTCCGAATTCCTACATTGGAATGATGGTTGTTTCTTATGGTCCATAATGGTACAACAATGCATTTTTATGATGGTTTAATAATAATTATTGCTGATTCAGCAGGTATATACCATCAAAAAAATTTTTTTTTATGTTGGCCGTATCAAAAATCACACCGAATTCCTACATTGAGGTGACGGTGATTCACGTTCGTTAAAACATTTGATTCCTAAAACACTATGATGGAAATTTCTAATGATTCAACATGAACCCATCAAAACAAGTTGCTATTCTTATGTTGGACCATCATAAACCAGTCCTAATTTCTACATTGGAATGATGGTTGTTTCTTATGGTCCATAATGGTACAACAATGCATTTCTATGATGGTTTAATAATAATTATATATACCTTCAAAAAATTTGTTTGCCTTCTATATGTTGACCTTATCAAAAATCACACCGAATTCCTACATTGGGGTGACGGTGATTCACGTTCGTTAAAATATTTGATTCCTAAAACACTATGATGGAAATTTCTAATGGTTCAACATGAACAAACCATCAAAACAAGTTGCTATTCTTATGTTGGACCATCATAAACCAATCCGAATTCCTGCATTGGAATGATGGTTGTTTCTTATGGTCCATAATGATACAACAATGCATTTCTATGATGGTTTAATAATAATTATTGTTGATTCAGCAGGTATATACCATCAAAACAATTTTTTTTAATGTTGGCCGTATCAAAAATCACACCGAATTCCTACATTGGGGTGACGGTGATTCACTGTCGTTAAAATATTTGATTCCTAAAACACTATGATGGAAATTTCTAATGGTTCAACATGAACAAACCATCAAAACAAGTTGTTATTCTTATATTGGACCATCATAAATCAATCCGAATTCCAACATTGGGGTGAACTTTATTTATGATGTTTACCATCAAAAATATATTGGTTCATGATGGAATTATTTGCGGTTACCATCCAGATTGTGTTGGTCCATAGATGAAAAATCATTAAAAATGTTGACTTTTGAAACCTTTGTACATTTGGTAATTTGTGCATGTATAGCTAACGCAGAAAAAGCTATGTTTCCAGCATTAAAAAAAATTTATAATTTTTACAGTCTTTCTACGTTTGTCATGCTTCTTGTTTATTTCTTTAGTTTTTTCAATTCTTGAGCGAATAATTGAAATGACCGCAGATCATAGCAAGCAACAAGACTACGGACCTCTGATTGATAATAAAATCGTTCAATATTCTTTAGCTGAGTTACAAACAGAAATAGAAGCATTCAGATCACTAGTATATCGAACAATTGGTAAGTAAACTAAGCTCTTCATTTGAAAATTACTCTCTGAAATATTTATTTAACACTAAACATACCAACACTTAATAAATATATATTTCTCCCATATCCGGTCAAATGGCCGGATTTTATGCTTCTTGATTGAATGTATGAAATATGGATTTTAAAAAGGAAATGAACTAAAAAAACTTCATTATAATTAAACATAATTGTATATTGCCAATTTTTTATGTAATACAAACACAAAGTACAAGAATTTTTAATTCATTGCTCAACGCATTTTTTACATATACAGGGCGTTCCCATTGTACATTTTCTCCAAACATATTTTTTCTATTTATTATTATTTCTTTAAATCTTATAATTATTCACGGATATATAAGAATTATAATTATTCTTTTAATTAATATTATTTCTTCTAAGAACCTGTACTGTCTTGATTGTTTCGTCATTTTTCTGGGTAAAAACTATCAGTTAAAAATAAAGTAAAGCTATCAAAATAAAATATAAGCTACTTACCAAACTATTTAGTTTTTGTCTCTTTTTCTTACACAAAAATGCCAATCTAAAATTTTAGGTACTTTCCTGAAATTTGAATTCACAGTTCTTTTGATTGAAATAACTACGCAACAGTCTTTGCTGAAATGTGCAACTATAATCGAATGCAATACCTTGAACACGCATTACATCGTAATTTCTGATCCGATAACCTTATAAAGCAATAAATTGTTCTCACGGTCAAATGGCCGGTTGTGGTATAAATAGGTATACGACAAGTATTATTCAGAACAAACAAAATACAAAAAAAAATATTAAAAGAATATTAACTGCATATAATTGTTAGAAAAAGTCATGAAGTCAAATGTGCGAAAACGATAAGATGATAAGCGCATTTTCGATGCAAAAGTTCTTAAACGGTCATTTGACCGGTTATGGTATGTTTAGTGTTAATTTCATGACGTTTTCTCTTTACTATAGCTCAAAAGATGAAAGGCGAAGATTATGAAGTCTTAGTTTCAATGACAAAGCTCATAGGCGGGCGACTGGCACGAAAAGTGACCGACGACTGTCTTCAATATTGGGGCGCAATCGGTGTTTCTGACGAATCGTTGATCGGCCGTTTTTACAGAGATTGTCGACCACTATCCACTATTGGTGGAACTGATGAACTTATGTTGCGTTCGATTTCAAAGCATATGTGCAATTTCTGAAATTTCTGAAAAAAGTTATAAGGCTTTGCCTAAACAAACTACATAACTCTTTTAAACGTCACATGTAATAGTGATTTTGCTAATATACTATGATAAAAGTTATGGATGTATTTTTTTTATAAATTATTACTGAACATTTGTTCAAAAACTTTTTTTTTAATTTCTCTTGCTGTGTTTTAGATTTAATCATACATTTTTTTCTCTGAATTATTAAAGAAAAAAAGAGCTACAAAACAAACTACAGCAAACAAACAACAAACTGCAACAAACAACACTGAACAAACTGCAACAAACAAACAAACTGCAACGATTAAACTGCAACAAACAAACAAACAGCAAACTACAACAAACAAGCTACTACTACAAAAGTTAGGTTTTGCCTAAACAAACTACATAACTCTTTTAAACGTCATATGGAATTGTGATTTGGCAAATATACAGTTATAAGGCAAGTTATATCCAATGATAAAAGGATGGAAGAATTTTTTTTCATAAATTATTATTGAATATTTGTTTAAAAACTTTTTTTATTTTATTTCTCATGTTGTGTTTTACTTTTTATCGAGTATTTTTTTCTCTGAGTTCTTAAAGAAAAAAACTACAAAAGAAACTACAACAAACAAACAACAAACTGCAACAAAAAACCTGAACAAACTACAACAAACAAACCTGCAGCGAACAAACTACAATGATCAAACTACAACAAACAGCAAACTACAGCAAACAAACAACGAACAAACTACGACAAAGAAACTGCTACTACAAAAGTTATGTTTTGCCTAAACAAACTGCATAACTCTTCTAAACGTAATATGTAATTGTGATTTTGCTAATATACTAGGGGTGATCAAATGAAAAGGTACGAAACGACGTAAAAACGTAACAGTTAAATATTTGCATATTCCGCTATGGGAGAACGTAGCGAGACATCTCGGGATGCGATTGGAGTCTCTGACTGGGATCAGAGCATGCGCTGGTGCCCGCATGAGCAGGAGAGAGCAGAGGCTCTTATCAAAAGCGGCGTCTAAATGATGCGGCAGTCCGTATGAGGACTGGATGGCGTTCGCGCTGCAAAATTCGACGATTGAGGAGCAGCGAGGTGTTATCCGATTTCCTTGAGCACAGAAAAACCATTAACTCCGGTGTGTACTGTGAGACACTCTGACGCCTATGCAGGTCCATCAAGAACAAAAGACCGGGGCTGCTCACGGAGGGTGTGGATCTGCTCCATGATAAAGCGCGTCCACACGTCTCCAGACTCACACACATGGAACTGGCCAAGTTCAAGTGGGAGACGTTGGACCATCCGCCCTACAATCCGAACTAGTCGCCCAGCGATTTCCATGTGTTTGGTCCACCTGAAAGGGAAGCTCTTCAACTCGGACGACATACTCAAGGACGCTGTGAAGGACTGGGTCTCGTCAAGACCACAGGAATTCTGGGAACAAGGAATCCTGCGGCATGTTCATCAGTGGGATCGCTGTGCACAGGCCTATGGTGTATATTTTGAATAAAGTCTGCATTTGTACCCACCGTGTCGTTTCGTACCTTTTCATTTGATCACCCCTTGTACAATTATAGGGCAAGTTCTATCCAATGATAAAAATAGTGGACATATTTTTTTTTTTATGAATTATTATAGAATAGATTTTTAAAAACTTTTTGTTTTGTTTTGCTTTGTTCCTCTTGTTGTATTTCAGATTTTAACTTTTTTTAGCTGAATTTTTAATTGTTAATCTTTTATTTTCATTCGTCAATCTCTTTTTTTTCTCACTAATTTCGTTTTTCTGAGAAACCTCACAATCGATTTTCTAAAACTTTTATTTGATTTATTTTGTTATGATGCACGTTCTATATGGCTCTTTTCTCTATATTTTCAATCATTGAAATTCTTTAATTTATGTTATGCGAATTTTTTGGCACTTATTAATATATTGTTGATCTGAAAATCTACAGAATTGATTTTCAAAAACTTTTTTGTTAATCTTCTTATGGTGCAGTTTAGCAAAAGGTTTTTAAAACTGTTTTGTTTGGTCTAATTTTGTAACAAAAATTAATAATTTAATTTCAGTTTCAAAAATGAAGTTTTTAATTTTTTTAAAAACAATAATAACGTTAATGTATTTTTGTACAGGATTCGAACAAAAAATGTGTTTGAAAATTAATTGATTTTACGTATGATTTGTGTTTTGTAATTAATCAAAAAATCATTCTAAAAATATTTCAGCTAAGTATTTTTATAAATGATATTTTGATTAACCAATATTCAATGTAGCGAAATGTACTTAAAATTTGTAGCTTTATGAAACTGAAAAAAAATCAAAACCTAACGATGGATATTTATGTTCGTCAGATTTATTATCAGTTTTTTAAAAATAATTTGATATCATCTATGTGTAGTTAAATTAAGTACTATATAAAATGATGTTTGTGAATATGTATGTAAGTTATGTAAAACTGTATTGTAATTAAAAAAAATGGCAAAAAAAGTGAATTTTAAGGTTTATGCGTGAAACATATTTTGCAATTATTCTTAATTTCATCCACACTATGACTCATATCTTTATTTCGAGAAACATAATCTGTAACATTTTGAGAAAAAGATAATAAATATTTGCTAAGATGTATTTTTTGCATGGGGTTATAGTTAGATAAACGCATTTTATAATTGCGTACAATAAGTTTTCTATTGGCTTAAAAAGTTCTCGAGATATTGCGAAATACGCAAAAAGTAAAATTAACATAAAGGAGTCTCGATTTCGGACCGCTTTCCTGATCAAAGTTTTGGGACCCTATTTCCCAGATTACGGTTACCCCCCATAGTTTGGGAACCAGAAATTAGAATCCATCGAAATTCAGAGAAAGTACGTTTTTGTGTCCGATTTTGTGCCTCAAAATACAGTCTGCACTTACTAATTAGTACAGTCCCTGGCCAAATTATTAGACGCACTATACACATTCTATGTAAAATCTTAATTATCATGCAATACTATACAGCTTTATTGTTTTTACGTGGTTTGTACTTGTTTACGTTTGTGTATTAATTGGTTAAAATTGCGATGCAATACATTAAAAATAAATGCAAATAGGAAGTTTATAAAATTTTCCTGAATAAGAACCCATTACATGTATGTATAAATATAAAAGTATTACCTATATACTCGTTTCAAAACACGTCATTATTAAAAAACTATAGTGCGTCTAATCATTGGGTCTAATTATTATAATATGTACTAATGTAATACCTGATAGAATAAATATTCCGTATTTATGTAATGTGTCGTCTCATTTATCCAATCGTCGAATTTATATTACGTATAGTCTAATTCAACCAATTGATACATGAACGTAAACAAGTGCAAACCGGTTTCAGTCGAGCAAAAACAATAAAGCTGCATGGTATCACCTGATATTTAAGACTTTACATAGAATTTTATAGTGAATCTAATAATTTGTCCAGAGACTGTATATTTAGGTCACCTCCTTGAACCAGTAAGACTGAGTCCTAGAACTTGAAGATCCGATCATTAGATCAAAAGTTATTCAGGGTGGTCCGTTTTTGAATTTGCGCACTGTACTCAGTGGAGGAGGCTAATAGTTTCTTGGATACCACATGAGTTGTAAAGAGAAAAATTAAACTGATATGATACAGTTTCGGTTTTAATTTCTTCGATTTTAAAGACGGAATGAGTCAAAACTGAAAATTCCTTGATGATTTTTTACGAATGAGAGCATCTATTGTCTCCTATAATAATTCAGACTAAAAAAAAAAAAAAAACAGTAAAAAAACAACTATACAAAATGAATTAAAAAAGATCTTATAATGTCTTTATTATTGAATATTTAAGCAGTGATAGAAAAAAATGAGAAAACTTACTAAACGCAAAAATCTTAAAAGTAAGAAAAGGAAAAGCAATAGAAGGAGTTCTTTCGGCTTAATGTTCGTGGAGGCAGCGTGTGAGACGTGGCGTGGGTAATAGCGCAGCCGGAGAGTTAGCAAAGGAATTCTTCGTCTGAGGGGTTCGATCCCAGTTGAAGGCTAATTTCTAAAATTTTGTTTATTTATTTTATACTATTTTTTTTCCATTTTTTTTCTAATATTTTAACGTGAATGAAGTGATCTATATATAAAAATTATTATTTTTATTTTGGAATGAGCAAATAACAACTAAAAAACGGATAAATTTCGCTTCCGATTGCTACGCAAGTGTATCACCCGTACAGTATCTCCCTCTAATATTAATTTAATATCTTCGAACTCAGCCATAAATTATAGTATAATATACTAAACAATCGTACCGAAAGAAATTTTTATAGACAAATAAGGGGACCCACAATAGGCCAAAATAGGTTCCGTTTAATAACAGCAGGAAAGTTCTTTAGGCTTAATATTCGTGGAAGCAGCGTGTGAGGCGTGGGGCGGTTAGTAGCCCAGAGGGCTAGTTAGCAAAGAAATTTGTAATCTGAGGAGTCCGGTGTTCGATCCCGGTCAAAGTTTAATTTCTAATTTTTTTTTAAAATTTATTTTATTCTAGTTTATTTTTCTATTTCTTTCTCAATATTTTAACGTGAATAAAGTGTTCTATATATAAAACTTGTAAAACATCCCATGTTTAGCACATCGGTGAGGGAATTCTAACCATTAAACCGCCGAGGATATTTTATATCAGCACTGTGGTCGGTGCTAGTTGGGAGCAGAACCACCCACTGCTGAATTTTGGACCTCATTTGGAGGTGAACTGTCTATACCCTGAGCCACTGCGGCTCCTTATTAATGTATTTTATAGTAAAAGAGAACTTTTTCATTTCAAACACGGCTCACTTTATGCATGTAATCGATTTTTATTTTATTATCGACATTAAATAGCCGACACAATCTTTTGAGTTTATGACTACTAACGTTCAACTCCATATCCTTGTAAATTTGAACCCACCCAGAAGACAAGGGACAAGCTTTCATGAAAGACTTTTTGATGGATCTAATCAACCTTTGTGTTACATGGAGTGGAAAACCATGAAATCCTGCCATGGTTACACTTACGGCAAGGGTCGAGTCCTAGATGAAATATCTTACAAGAAGCGGCTCGAATTTATGTGGCCCAAATAGCATCATCGGCGTCAAAAAAAAAATCATCATTATCATAAAAGAATTATTCGAAAAAGGAATTAGCTGAGCTGTTAAGTGTTAGAATTAAATATAGGTCTTATGAATCACAAAAATATTGCTTGTTAAAACCGTGATATACTCGTTTAAAACGAACTATGCTTAATGCTGCACCATCCAAGTATTTCTGATTTCTTCCTTAAATCCGGCTCCTCATTAAATTGGCGCTCGTTATAAATGAGTTCGACTTTATTAGAATGAAAAGATTAAATTCTGTGTATTCGTATCATGGCTGCCAAAGCAAAAGGAGACAAAATACTTAGATTTTTTGTAATAATAAGTGTGTTGTGTAAAATAAAATAAAAATTCCGTAACATAGGAATTTTTTAACAATCAATAAGTACTGTTAAAATAAGGCTTTATACGTGGGTTAATATTAAAGGGAGTTACGTATTTTTGACGTTTGCATGCTGTCCCTTTTTCGGCCATTACATACATTATTCGCATCTTTAACAAAGAAAGATACCCGTTTTCATATGTAGAACGCATTTTATTCATGCTAAAATATCGAAAATATTGAAAAAGAAGTGAAAATAAATAAATAAATTATCCCGAATTTATAAATTTTTTACCATTATTCGCTATTTCCCGAAGGAAAAAAATATTTTTTATCTAAATATATCTTTAAAATATCGAAAAACAAATTAAAAAAATAATATAAAATGAACTAAACAAAAGAAAAAAAAATTATTTTAAAAATTAACCACCACCGGGATTCGAACACGCGTCAGCCCGTTCAACGAATCTTACACGCTCACAGCCCTAACCACTGGGCCACGCCATATACGGTGCTCTCCCGAATATTTATCTTAAAGAACCCTCTCTCGGTCAATCAAACAAAAGATTTTTGGTCCATTGTGGGCCCCCTTATTGCTCTATGAAAATTTCCTTTGGTACCATTGTCCGTCCCATGGGGACCTACTTTCGGCCCGATTATGAACATTACAGCTTAATATTAAAGGGAGTTACCGACCCGGTACATTTCTGTCCCCTTTTCATCTATTATTCGCTCTTTAACAGAGAAAGATACTTGTTTTTATACATATATAGAACACTGTATTCACGCTAAAATATCAAAAACATTGAAAGAGAACTTAAAAAATAATATAAAAAAATAAATAAATAAATTATCGCGGATTTTTCCTTTTTTTACACATTATTTGCCATTTCCCGAAGGAAAATATTTTATATATATATATATATACTAGCGGACCCGACAGACGATGTCCTGTACACACGTCATTAATTGTGGAAAATTTCAAATTCTTTTGAATAAGCTGTAACAATCTGGATCGTTTTGATGCAAATTTGCATTAAAAAGTTATCATATTAACGTCATTACATATATCTTATCACAATTCGACCAATCGATAGCGCGTGAGTATGTGTATAATATCAGTGAAGTTAAATGTAGAGGTTGTTTTAAATCAAAACTTAAACTTATTTTAATTAAAGGTAAAAAAGTGAAAACTTAAACTATTTTATAACAGATATATTTTTTCAATTAAAAAAAACTTAAGTTATCGTAATGCCATTAGATGTACAATATTTTTGGCTAATCCTTCAGGAGCATACACAAACAAATTCAAGGGTTTTCCAACTCTGGAACACGCAACATATAATTGACCGTGAGAAAAGCACGGGTTTTCTAAATCTAAGCCACAAATTGTCATTGTTAAACCTTGTGACTTATTAATAGTCATAGCAAATGCTAAGCGGATTGGAAATTGCAAACGTTTGAATGGTATAGGCGAATCTGAAGGAATCATTGGGATCCGCGGTAGAAGTACAACTTCACCTTAAAATTTTCCACTTAAAATAGTGGCTTCTAAAATGTTACCCATGATTTTTTTTATGACCAGTCGCGTGCCATTACACAATTTCGGAGCATTCAAATTTCTAAGCAAAATTATAGGTGAACCAATCTTCAATCGCAAATTATGGGGTGGCATTCCAGGTAAATCCAGTGAATTTAAAAACTCGGCAGGATAGTTGACAACTTCATCAGGATCAACAACAGTGTCAATCGATTTGAATGTAATTTCACTACCAGGCAATGATTGTTGTTCTTTAAAATTGATTGCGTCAACATCTAAATTTTTTGCGGCTAAAATAGCTCGCTCACGTAGCCATGCATGATTAGTATAATTATGTGGCAAATCTGGAAAGATACTTTTTATTAACTCCTCTTTGGTAGGCACCATGTTGCAAACATTCTGTGGGAGTCGAATATATTGTGCATCTTCATACAATTGAATTTTACCATTGCCAATGTCTAACAGTTGTTCGGAGAATCTTGACGCTAATGGATCACTTTGAGGTTGAACACGCATATTAAGAGTAAGGCATAATTTACTGACACTTCGCCACAAATAAGATTCTTTCAAACATGCGTTTATTTCGTCCGCATATGTCGCACGTGGAATGACGGGTAATATTTGTCTGAAATCATCTGACAGCAGCAGTAGAGCACCACCAAAAAGCTGAGTATTATCTTTGATATCTTTTAGGGACCTGTCGAGAGCTTCAAGCGAATGCTTGTGGGCCATTGTACATTCATCCCAGATAATAATTTTACATTTTCTCAAAACTTCAGCCATGCCTGAATGCTTCTTTATGTTACACATTGCTTCGGGATTGGTATGAATATTCAAAGGTAATCTAAGTGCTGAATGCTTTGTCCGTCCACCATCAAGTAAGGTTGCTGCAATGCCTGACGAAGCAATTGCCAATGCAATATGATTTTGAGATCGAACGCGCGCAAGTATTAGTGAGATGAGGAATGTTTTACCAGTGCCACCTGGTGCATCCAGAAAAAAATCCACTTAATTGTGCGGCAATTGACACGTTAATTTGATCATATATATTTCGTTGCTCAGCAGTAAGCAATCGTTCATTGTTGGCAACAAAAGTAGCCAGAGAAGTCATATCGAACTGGTGTTCACGTTGAACGTCGCTGTTGATGATATCTGCTGCTTGGCGGATTGGCGCTGGCATGCCAAAATGTATGAGCGGCATGTTCGAAATAAGAATACAAATATCCTCAATCATTATTAATGCCTCGTTATATATTTCTGCGGAGAATTCCATACTGAGATTTTGATTAGTAATTCTAATCCGATGCAAAATATCCTCACTCATTGAGTCTTTATATTTATTCCACAGAGCAGATGCTTCAGACGGAAAGCACGTTGTCAATATTATTGAAAATAATTGACGAATTTGCTGTGGAGATGAGCTCAGTGCTGCATCTGCAAGTGTGAGGTCCCAATGGTTATCATCCTCCAATAAATGTAACTCACGACACGCATCAAAGAAAGTGCCGTTTAAAGTACCGTTGACTTTTCGCAAGTATTGGAAAGATGTCGGTCCAGGAACGTTAACCAATAACAAACGCAGAAAAAAGCATTCGCGTTGCTTGGGATGAACTGTATATAATCGTCCTAAAGTATTTGTCATAACTATGTCGGCAAATCCTGGGACTGGAGTGCCTCGTTTCCGTGGTTCCCAACTTTTTGATTGTTTATTCTATGTAAAAAATTTAGGAACATCAGTATACATTAATGTCTTTGCAAATTCACCAACAATATCTTGTCGATTACAAAGGTTGAAAAATTCAGTAACAGTTGTTTTTGGAACTGTTAGAGCTTGTTGTAGTGCATTCTGTTCTGTGAAATAAACACGCTGTCCATTTTCAAGATGCACAGCCAAATGTACAACAGCAGGATCCCTTTCATGTATAGGAAATGTAAAAATTCGCCCAATAGCTTCATTACTACTTATGTATCGTCCCATTTGATAATGTCTTATTTCGTCATTCTTATTTACATTTTGAGCAGCAAATATAGCTTTATCACTGCCCTTATGAACGTACTTGATAGACTTCACCGAACTGCATAACTCAACGTTTATGTGTGCTTTATAGGTTTTGCACAGCAATGGTGAGTATGGAACCACCCAGAGATTATCGATGTCAACTCTTGCACCGTTTGATAGACGCAATTCATATGATTGACCGCCATTGTCTACATCTCTACGACGGTAAGATGGATAACCATCGATATTGGTGATAGTGTCAGTTTGACATGGTTTAGGAAAACGTTTCGTACATTTTCCATTATCCATACATGGTAACGTCATGTTGAGAGAAACACATGGACCATGGATCATATTAGTAGTCACAATGTCAAACAATTCTTGATCAACATTCGGATTTGGAATTTCCGCTGAAATAAATTTGTCAGTTTCTTCAGGGCGTACTTTGTCCACCAACCAAATCAAAATGCGCGCATGAGGTAAACCTCGTTTTTGTCATTCAACAGAATAAAGCCAACATCGAGTTTCACCAAATACCGAGTGATGTGTAATCAATTTCATCAGTGATTTCAATTTTTGTTTGAACACACGTGCAATGATATCATGGCGATGCATCGATGTTTGACCTGATAACAGCAAATTTTTAATTTCATCCCAGTTTGGATTACACATAAATGTGATAAAAAGATCTGGTCGGCCGTATGCGCGTACGTAAGTCATGGCGTCTTGAATATATTCTTGCATATGACACGGACTACCAATGTATGCTGATGGAAGAATATATGCGGTACCGATGTTGTTCATATCATTCGTTGCATCTACGTTACCGATTATGGCGTCACGCAAATGAATGTACTCTTCAGAACGAAGTTTCGCTTGATTAAAATTTATATAACACAATCTCTCACTTTCGATTTTTAAATACATATCAACAATGTACTGATGAAATAGCTGTCTGCATCGGAGAATGTTATTATCTTCATTTTCACGAATCATCAACCGGTATGCGTAGAAGTTCATTGCACTAACTTTCTTGATTAGTTCTTCACCTGTAAATAAAACTACTTATAAGATAAACAGAAATAATTGGTTAA